ATTCAAGATACGCCTAGCCGTCGGCACTGTCAGTAGTGACTGGGTGCGTTTTATTTCAAGCAGTATGTATTTTCTTTTATTTCTTTCAGTGAGAAACTTTTTACTGGTACATAGGCTGTATAGCGAATATAATTTTTATCTGACCCTTACCGGCAACTGAAACACATTCATCGACCCCCAGGTTAAAGATATGCCTTTGAATTTTCTGTGTGTCCTACAATTTAGGCACTGTGACACAAAGTTTATTTAAATGCCTGTCTATCACAGAGCCGACGTGAGTAAGCTATTTACGCAGATCATTAAATATTTCGTAACAATGACGAAGCTAATATTGTTAAATACTTGTTTGTTTTTTTTTGTTTTAAAGGCGAAGTTAGAAAATAACGTCCATTAGAAATAATGAGAGAAATTTTTCGCGGCTTATTGACATTCCACTATGAATTGTGAGAGTCACCGAAGAAATAGCAGATGTTCTAGTAGAATTGCGTCTGTCTGAGAAAGTTTATCGAGCTGAGAAAGTTTATCGAGCTGAGAGAACGTTATTATTACTGACCGGAACGGAATCCATTGAACAACAATAAAAATGAAGAGATGACAACCACGCAACTGCCTGGGGCCTGTTGGGATTAAGGCTAAGGCTATCATAATCCTAGGATTATAGTGACCGAGTGGTTAGGACGTTAGCTTTCCGATCCTGGTTCGAATCTCGCCATGGTAGATTTGTCAGGATGTTGGCATATTGATGTTATCGAAAGCTACTTGAGGTAGCGGTTTACAAAGTGGGAGGCACTGTTTATATGGATATGCGAGGAAGATCACGCTCAAGTGAACAGGGAAGCATCTTCTTGGCAGTCGAAAGGATGTGCCATCTTTGGAAAGTGCCTCAGAGCCATATCCCAGGGTTATACAAGCCTTCTGGGTGAGATTGGATAGATGGAACTAATTGAGAAGCGCTGTTAGCATAAAATTCGTAAGTCATCGTGACCGAGGGTCTGAACGTATTGGCCGTGTTCAGGCTGTTGATTAGGCCAGATAATGCACTCTCTCCCAGAAACTGTAACTAAGGCTCGCTCAGAATAGTTGCAGTATATATACAGGGTACAATAGATAATCTTTCGTAATATTATATATTATCTAATTTCGCGCATGCGCGTTGTTTGTTTTTGATTTCGTCGGCTGTAAAGTTTGGTAGAGTAATTTGGGCACAGTCTGTGAGAAAAAAGGCACCTTGACGCTATTCACTCACCAGAAATTTGGAAACGGCTTGCTGTACTGCTTGGCATTCGCACCAGAAGCACCAATACGAACTTTGCAGATTTTTGGGATGTTAATCTGAGGACAGAGCAGAAGATTCGGAAAGAGGTGTATGAGTCTAACGGTAAATTAAAAAGGGTTTTGTAATCAAAAGCGATGGCGACGTTATGCCTCCATTCATCTTCCCACAGAGCCTCAAACTCAACAGGGAGGCCGGCATCAAGTGTCGTGAGGAGGTAGTGCTGCCCTTGCGTGAAGTGGGGTGCCCCTATCTCTGGCAACATAAATCTGCACCATGCCACGCAAGCAGAACAACCCAGTCATGTATGTCATTCAATTTTTGCGACCACATCACCCCTTTACATCTGGCCACCTATGACCTCAGATTGCAAGTCTTGGATTATTATGTGTGGGGCGCAGTTGAGCGAGAGATCAACAAAACATTTTTAACACCAAAGATGAACTAAAAGCAAGGATTAGAGCAGCATTCACTAACTTAAACAAGGAGACCATCCAGAAGAGTTGCAGGAGATTCCAAGGTCGTTTGGAGGCCGTGGTTGAAGCCAATAACGATTTTACTGAATAAATTTACTCTTGAATATTTCAAGATATTTTTCTCTAATTTTCGTAGAAAATACCTGTTAAAATGAGATGTCAGTGTTATTTTTTTTTTTGCGTCATTTATCCTGAGGAAGGCCGGGGCGTACAACGGAAGAAACGTCGTGAATACGGCAATAAAGATGAGGACAGCAGTCCGAACGATGTAAATAATGTAAATAATGTAAATAGTTACAACACAACACCTCAGAAATATTTCATTCCCTGACGAAGGCCGGAGCGTATAACGGCCGAAACGTTTTGAATATGGCAAAAAGTTGAGGACAGCAAACCGAACGATGTAAATAGTGAAGGTGATTTGCTTAAGAAAAAAAAAAAAAATAATAACAAGCTAGCAAATGCCGGGAAAAATTATTCTTCGAGATTATCAGAAAAAAAAAACAAAAAAAACGAACAAATATATATAAAAACAAATAGTGATTTTCCAAGCGGAGCTCAGAATTGGCACAAGGCCAAAAGTATGGGGCATCCAGTGTGGATTGAACCCACTCTTAATTGTTCTAGCGAGACAAGCTTGCTAACCATTACATCATATATGCTGTTACATATATGTAGCGGCATATAGGGCACCACAAGGTGGTGTAATGGTTAGCAAGCTTATCTCGATAGAACAATTACGACTGAGTAGTGAGTTCGATCCTCACTGAGCGCTCCTTACTTTCGGTTTTGTGCCATATCTAAGCTACGTTTGGAAAATCACTATATGTAGCAACATATATAATATCAAATTTGACATAGGGCACCTAGTCAGAAGCAAGGAAACGGGCGCAAATTGAGGGGTGCTCATGTTTGTTCCTCTCGGTCAATGCATGGGGCAACTATGGGCGTTTCTTCTTTAATCAGCGTCTACAATTGGTTCTTCTCAAGTTGAGTAGGTCGGCCAGTTCGCGGAGAATCTGTGAATTCGAACTTCCTCTCTTTGAAATAGGAAAACCATTTCTGTGACCTTCTGTCGATAATGAAGTCATCTCTGTACAAAATTAACAAAAGAAAAGCGAGTTTTTTTTACCCAAATTTAGAACGTGTTAGAAAGAAGAAAAAAAGTTAAAAAATGCTTTGTTCTTTCCTCTTAATAATAACATAAACATTTTAATGGTTAAACTTTGTTTTTATTAAGTTCCGGGCCTTTTATTATTATGTTATACTGATTTTGTAGCGAATTATTGGAGATACCTAATTTTATATGTGGTTGAAGGCATACAAAATATTTAGATTTTGACATTAAATAACCCATAGACATGTTGATATGCCGCTAAACAAAATAAACCAATCGTTTTTTTCCAGGAGATGCTAAGGCGATACTATCAGCGTAAGTAGAAGATTCCCCGCATGTCGGCAAAACCAAAACTTGTGGTGTGATTGTTCGAAACATGTCGATGGTTAGGGCTACGGTTAGGGTTAAGATTTTCCTTAAACTGGCCTTGTACAAAACTGTTGTTCAAGCTAAATTATGCGTTCTTTCCCAGAAACTGTAACAAAGGTCAGCTCAGAATAATTGGAATACAAAACACGAGATGGTTATGTTTCTTTTCTGTAACAGGAGATCATCTGCCAAATCTAGAAATCGGGTAGATCGGGAAACGAGCAGACAACCAATTTACGATTGAAAAAAAGCTGAAAGATAGCGTCAGGGCATAAAAAGCAAAGGAAATTACGTTAATGACTGAATAATTATACCATGAATTTTTATGGATAAACATTTTCTCAGATAAAATGTAGAAATTTTTATCTCAACCATTTCCTAATATGATAGAAATTTAATTGTAACTTCCCTATCTTTTTTTATAAATATTATATTATTCGTTCTGATGAGCATTCTTCTTTGCTACCAAGCTTTTATGAATTTAATCTGTGTTTTAAAGTGATGTGGTCTAGTTTGGTTTGCTTTATTTTGTTTTACGGCATATCAACCCCAATGTGTTATTTAATGCCGACAAGATTTTTAAAAGTGTATTGCTGCTAATATTTTTTTTCCAAAGATGTATTGCTGGTGATAGTTTTTCCTTTAAAAATGTATTGCTGGTAATTTTTTTCAGAAATATATAGGTGGAAGTTTTTTCTCAAAAACGTAGTGCTGGTAATAATTTTTTCTTCAAAAATTCATTGCTGGTAATAATTTTTTCTTCAAAACTTCATTTCTGGTAATAATCTTTTCTTCAAAAATTCATTACTGGTAATAATTTTTTCTTCAAAAATTCATTGCTGGTAATAATTTTTTCTTCAAAAAATTCATTGCTGGTAATAATTTTTTCTTCAAAAATTCATTGCTGGTAATAATTTTTTTCTTCAAAATTCATTGCAAAAGTAATAATTTTTCTTCAAAATTCATTGCTGGTAATAATTTTTTCTTCAAAAATTCATTGCTGGTAATATTTTTTTCTTCAAAACTTCATTGCTGGTAATAATTTTTTCTTCAAAAATTCATTGCTGGTAATAATTTTTTACAAAAATGTATTGATGGTTGTAAAATCTATTTTTAAAATTACATAGTGTTTTGACCCTTGTTTATTTGCTCATAGCTGGGGCCCTAACAGTTGCTACCACCCCCGGCCGGACCTGGGAACACTAGCAATTAAGAGGTGGTTCCACGCTCCTCAAAGCCTCCTGATTAGAGGCCTTGCTGTTGGATGTAGTTTATCGTCTTAGTCAGGACGCCTCATTGGGGGAGGTCTTACCCATCTGCAGAGGTGTACTCGGCGTATTCTGAAGGCCCAGCCGACAGGGCGTCAAAGTGATTTGACCCTAAACCCAAGAAAAGTAATCTAATGCATTGAATAAATATGAAATAGTATTTCGTAAGACAATTATAGGAGGAACTCCCTAATCATACTTACAATTCGTACATATATTAATGACAAAATATATCCAAGTCCGTCACAAGGCCATTGTAAAGGAGTGTCCTCGAGCTAGACAAGATTCGTATATCATATAGATATTAATCTCATAATCACAGAAGTCAAGATAACTCGAAAAACAGAAAAGAAGTTTATTCGAAAATGAAACAGAAAAAGAAAGCAAAGTTGTTAGAAGCAATAGATATATATATATATATATATATATATATATATATATATATATATATATATATAAGATAAATAAAAAAAAGGGAGGTATCACTTTTCCTGAAGTCAGACGACACCTTTTAAAGCATCGAAGTTGATGGCCACCTTCCAGCGATGGAGGTAATGGAACGGTTCCAGTAGATCTGAAATGGAAGGAAGAAAAAAAAAAAAGAAAAGAAAATATTTGCCGAATGCAGACGAGAATCGAAAGAAACAATAAAGAATGACAACAAAGATGGCCGCCGTCATGAAGCCGAAAGAAGAAATAATGATCATTGTACGAAGCTCTATAATTACAAACTGCTGGATTAATAATAAATCATATAACAAATAAAATTGATGATAATCATTGCTTTGAAGAAGTTATAAATATAGACATATTATTTTAATAGGTATTCGACAAAACATTCAAATAATAATAATAATAATTCTTAGATCGTTGATAACGTATGACCTTCGGCAAGCAGCAAGAGTAGGCACTCAACATGAGTTTGATGGTGTAAATAGTAAAATAGCAATACGACTACGAGAAGGAAGAAAATAGTGAGAAAGAAAAGGAAGAGACATGATAAGGCAATCAGAAAGAAAATGTCAAAGAAAGATACTACTATTACTACAACTACATCTAATAATAATAATAATAGTGAGAAGAAAAGGAGACGTAGAAAAAGAAGACGAAGGTAGACAAGAAGAAGGCGGCTGAGAAGGATAATAATAATTATAGTATTAATAATAATAGTTAGAAGAAAAAGGAGATGTAGACGGAAAAGATGAACGTAGTCAAGAAGAAAACGGTGAAGAAAGACAACAACAACAAAACAATAATAATGATAATAATAATAATAGTTGTAGTGAGGAGAAAAAAGACACGTAGGAGGAGAAGAGAAAGTTAGTAAAGAAGAAGACGGCTAAGAAAGATGATAATAATAATAATAATAATAATAGTGAGAAGAAAAAGGAGATGTAGAAGGAGAAAACGAAGATAGTCAAGAAGAAGACGGCGACAAGGACAATAATAATAATAATAATAATAATAATAATAATAGTAATAATAATAATAATAATAATAATAATGATAATAATAATGGTGAGGAGAAAAAAGAGACGTAGGAGGAGAAGAGAAAGTTAGTCAAGAAAAAACGGCTAAGAAAGACGATAATAATAATAATAATAATAATAATAATAATCAAATAAGAAAAACATAATAATAATAACAAAAGTGAAATTGAAAAAAAATAATACCAGTGGTAATAGGTGCACTTGGAATTATAAAAATGGAACAAAACAACACATTGAAAGAATCCCTGAAACCCCAGCTTAAGAGACATACAGAAAATTGTCTTATTAAGTACAGCACACACACTAAGGAGAACTTTGTCTATGTAACGCTAGCAACTTCATCGGAGATAAAAAAAAAAAAAAAAAAAATTAACATGAATGTGGCCATAACAACAACCACGACCTGCCTTAGGTCTTTCCGCAGAGAAGAAGTCCATAGCAGAAATCGAATGATGATGATGATGACAATAATAATAATAATAATAATAATAATAACAAATAAAAATAATACGGAGACAGGAGAAATAGCGAAGAAAGACAATAATAATAATAATAAGAAAAAGGAGATAAGAAAGAAGAAGGTAGCCAAGAAGAAGATAAGAAGATGGACAATAATAATAATAATAATAATAATAATAATAATAAAAAAGAAGAAGAAGAAGAAGAAGAAGGTAGAAGGTAGATAATAATAATAATAAGAATGGTGAAGAAGGACAATAAGATAAAATAGACGTATAATAAAATAATGGAGGAAAAAAATACCTAAGGAAAGAGAAAGTTATCAAGAAAACATAAGAAAGAATAATAATAATAATAATAATAATAATAATAATAATAATAATAATAGTGAGAAAATGAGACGGAGACGGAGAAGACAGCGAAGAAAGACAATAATAATAATAATAATAAAAGTGAGAAGAAAAAAGGAGATATAGAAGGAGAAGAAGATGAAGATAGCAAAAAAGATGGTGAAGAAGGAAATAGTAATATATGTGAGAAGAATATAATGCAGAACGAGAAAAACATGGTAGACAAGAAGAAAGAAATTAACAATAGTAATAACGAAAAAAGAAGAAGAAGAAGAAGAAGAAGAAGAAGAAGAAAGAGATAAAGAAAGTGATCTAGAACGAGAAGATGCTCGCCGAGATGGCAGCGAAGAAAGGCGACAATTAAAAACAAACGGATATTCAACTACGTTTTATGTAAAGTGAAGATAGCTTTCTCTATCGCCTACCAGTTCAAACTCCACCGCTGTCTTTATCCCTTGTTTCCTTTTGAGGATTGGATTTCCAGGTTACTTCTAATGTCATTTCATTCGCTTTCACTGACGGCAACCCGTTGCGCCTTTGTGACATCATCGCCTTACTTGGAACGAATTGTTAAAAAAAAAACCCGACTCCACATTGTAAATAACAGTAGTTTTGTTAGAAAAGAAAAGACGTATGATTTACTGTGAAAGACCCTGAAAATAGTGCACTTACAATTACAATATAAATATAATTATTTAGTCTGAAAAGTTCTTTCAAACGATGAAGCATTTAACATTATTTTTTGTTTTTAATTTTGTCATTATGATGAGATACGGAGAAATCAAAGAAATGAGAATCCACAATTGAGGATATTAAAACTGTACAAAAATTTCAGAAGATATATGAGAAGATATTTCAGAATGTATACGTCTTTTTGGCCTTACATTTTTAACTAACTTGTGGTGGAATAACTACATTGAATCAATAGCTGCATCTATTGCAAGGACATTTGGTTCAATGTGTCGCGCCAGAATGTTTTACTCATCAGAGTCCTTCTTACACATCTACAAATCAACCATTTGTCCGTGCATTGAATACTGTTGCCATATCTAGTCTGGTGCCGCTGCTATTCATCTCAAAATCCCAAAAAAGGATCAACAGTTTAATTGGCATCTCGGCTCCACTCACTTTTTGATGTGGCTTCCCTCTGTCTTTTCTACAAAAGTCTTCAAGGCAACTGTTCTTACGAGCTTATTTCCCTGGTTCTCTATCTACATGAATTTAAGTGTGCTACTAGATTGGCATCTATGTCTCACTCTTTTACTATTGAAATAATTAAATATAACCGCCACTTCTACTCCAACAGCCTCTTTTATCGCACTTCCAGCCTTTGCAACTCCCTTCCTCTTACTTGCTTCTTATATTCTTCAAAAGTTTAAATGCAACGTCAATCGCCATCTTCTGTTCCGTTCATCTTTTATCTTTTCCTCCCCCCCTATACACAGCTTTTTTTCCCTCACTTTCACTCTCTGTAATCTCCGGCGTGCTATTGGCACTCTTGACTTGCTTGGGTGAAATTTTTAAAGAAATTTGGTTTACATACCTCCCTGGTCTTTTGAACAGGAGTAGAGGTTTATCCCTTGTTTTCTGTTTAGGATTGCGTTTCTAGTTCCTTTTAAAGTCTACTTCAAATCTATACTCCTAACGGTGTTTATTTCCTACGCTAATATAACTTCATACCGTAAATCCTCTTCCTTCTTCTATAATTCCTTGTGTCTTAATACTTTGTTTACAAAGTTCTTTTGGATGAAAATGATTATTATTTATCTATATCTATATGTTCAGATCGCAAATATCATCAAGAAACCCAGGTTCACAAATTCACATCAATCCAACTATATATATATATATATATATATATATATATATATATATTATATATATATATATATATAAATTTATATAGAGAGAATAGGAGATGAAGAGAGAGAGGATAGATAGATAGACAGAGAGAGAGAGAGAGAGAGAGAGAGAGAATTAAGAGAGAGAAATTCAGTGGGGATATGGAAATTAAAACAGCATGGAAAGTGATAATTTCCCGTTTCAATGTGATTTTCAGAAGATAGAAAGTAATTTTTCCTTATAAATATACCAAATTTTAGATAATTGATAGACTGATTGATAGATATAGATAAATGTGATAGATAGATAAATATAATTTGTATTATATATATATATATATATATATATATATATATATATATATATATATATATATTCAAATATCATATATATATATATATATATATATATATATATATAGGCAAAATGTGGAGATTCTACATATTAAAAAAATAATAATTTTTTTCTTATGTTTTTCGATGTTAAATACTCTCGATATGAGACATTCTGTTATATATATATATATATAGATAATGCTACCTATTAATAGGCGTAATTAATATACGATATTCAATTTAAGGTCTACTTTAACACTATAATTCCAACGTCTGCGCCGGAACTATTGAAATATTTTTCAATAATTAGAACTTGACATATTCAAGTCAGAATTTGCCGTTATTTTTCCTGCTTCGCCCCAAGAAATGTATTTCTTACTATTTCTTTAATACAACATCACACAGTAACCCTCTACCTTGAGTGGCTCTTGGACCATATTTTGTAGAACATTAGTAAATATATTGATGGATTTTCAGATGAAGCATCATTAACATGGTCGCGCAGGAGACATCTAAATAGAGAAAATGAATCAATGTTAAGCGGACCTAAAATAACACCGTATGAACTACACATGTACAGAGTAAGACCTATAATATTAGGAATAATATACAATCTCTTGAAATAGAGAAGAGAGGAACCACGCATTTGTTTCCCTTGTCCTTCTTTCCCTCTAACCGCCCTGTGAGTATCAAATTTACCAAGCTTTCCTTTCTCATTACGTGTCCTAGAAATTTCAGCTGACTCTTCTTTGTGTTAAGTATAAGATTCCTCCATGATTGTATCTTCTCCAAAGCATCATCTTTGGTCACATGTTCGGTCCATATTATCCTTAGCATCCTTCTGTAGAACCATACCTCCGTTGCCTCTAGTCTCTTCTTCATCTTCGAGGAAACGGTCCAATATTCGCTGCCGTAAAGGAGAACAGATATCACCTAGAAGCTCAGTACTATTTTTTGTGATAGCAAAGAAATCCTGTTTCGCAATACTCTTCCTAGCTTTTGGAATACGATTTTGGTTATCCCAATACGTCTTTGGATCTCAGCGTTGCACTTACCGTCCTCTGTCAGAACGCTTCCCAGATAATTAAACTTCCGCGTCTGCTTGATTCAAGTCTTCCCGACATGCAAATCGAATTTCGGGCTTATCCTTTTACTGATAACCATGCATTCTGTCTTCTTGTAGTTAATGCTTAGTCCTTTCTTCTCATTCTCCGTCGCTCCGAGTCTCTTCTTCATCTTTGTGGAAATCGTCCAGCATTCGCTGCCATAAGGAAGGACAGATGTCCTGGAACAGCTCAGTATACCAAAGAAATTCTATTTTCACAATGATTGCCCAATTTTTTGAATGCGTCCTTGGCCATCCCAATAAATCTACGGATCTCAGTGTTGCACTTACGGTTCTATGTCAAAACGCTTCCCAGATTTCTTAAACTTCCACGTCTTTTGATTCTAGTGTTCCCAACCTGCAAATTGCATTTCAGGCTCATCCTTTTATGATGACCATTTAATTATTCTTGTTTTTTATTTTAAGTTTTTCTTCTCATTAGTCCGAGTCAAAAATCAGATTTTGTGAAAATCGTCCTCCATTTATTTCTGAAGGAAGGACAGAAAATATTAACAGAGTAAAACAAAATTTCTCCTCTTACATTTTCCAGCTTTTGGAATGCGTCCTTGGCCATCCCAATACATCTTTCTTTTCTTTGCATTAAGTTCTATGTAAAAAGATTTCCCAGATTTTAAACTTTCCACGTCTTTTTGATTCTAGTGAAAAGAGAAAAAGTCAAATTGCATTTCAGGCTATATCCTTTTACTGATGAGCATCATTCTGTCTTCATGTCGTTTTTGTTAGTTTTTGAATTCATAGAAATCAGCTATCTTAAAAAAAATTTTCTTTTCCATTTTATCTCCAAAATATTCGAAACGTGAGTTTCTTTTCTCCAAATCTTTCCAATTGTGTCCCAGAAACTTCATTAATCTCTTCCTGATTTTCAGTATAAAAGCCTTCTCCTAAATCCAAATGTTTCTACAGATCACATTGTTGCTCACACGCTCAGTCCATGATATCCTTAGCATCATTTAGAGAAACATTCCATTGCCTCGAGTCCAATATTCGCATTCGTAAAGAAGGACAGGTGTCACGTAACAGCTCAGTATTCTTTTCTTTGTTACCAAAGATATCCCCCTGTCTCGCAATACTCTACCCAGCTTTTGGAATGCATCCTTGGCCATCCCAACGCATCTACGGATCTCAGTGGCGCACTTACCGTCCTCTGTCAAAACGCTTCCCAGATATTTAAACTTCCACGTCTGCTTGGTTTTAGTGTCCCCGACCTGTAAATCGCATTTTGGGATCATATTTTTTGCTAATGACCTTGCATTCTGTCTTCTTGTAGTTTACGCTTAGTCCTTTTTTTTCTCACACTCTTTCGCTACTTTCTATAGGAGTTTTTTTAATGTCTTTTTTTCCGTGTCTGATATCAGTAATGTTATCTTTTTTTAAGCATTTCACCCCAAGCAAAGCGGGAAGCCACTGGCACGCAAGGGGTTACAGAGGATTCGGAGCGAGAGCAGATAGGAGTGATTGAGAAAAGGATGAGGAGAAGGATAGTGGATAGATCAAGGCAACTGGAGATGTCGATTGACATTACATTTGAAAAGTTGGAGATGATAGCTATTAGGGAAACAGGAAAAGGGAAGGGAGTTCCACAGGAAAGAGGTGCGAGATATGAAGCTATTGGAGTAGAAGAAACGGCTACATTTAACATTTTCAACAGTGAAAGGGTGAGAGCGGGATGCCAGCCTCGTAGGACGCTTGAATTCATGAAGTCTGGGAACCAGTGAAAGCAGCTCATCGGAGCAATTACCATGGAAGTATTTGTAAAAAAGACAGACAGAGGCGAGGGCACGTCTGTGAGAGAGCGACTCCAGACGAGATGCCAGATCGGGGCCAATTACATTGCATATACGTCTCTGGATCTTATCAAGAACCCCGAGGCAAACAGAATGGGGCTCCAGACCAAATATGGCAGCAATACTCCATGCAAGAGCGAATGGTTTATTTGTAGATTTGAAGTATCGATTCCGGGGAGAAAAATTTCCTGGCGCGTCACAGGGAGCCAACTTTCCTTGCGGTGGACGAAGCAATTGTCTCAATGTATTTGTTCCATCTCAGGTCACTAGACGACGTGAGACCGAGCAGTCGCAGAGTGGCGCTCCCAGGAAGTTGAGCGTCAGACTTTCTAATTGGTGGCAGGGAAGGATCTCTGTGGGTAATTAATAGAGAGTAGTTTTGTTTTTGAGGCGTTAAAGTTAACCAGGCAATTCCTGCCCCAGTCCACAACCAATTGGAGGTCCTTTTCGAGACGAACGTCCAGGTTAGCTTTGTCAGCGACACTAGATTTGTTTTTGAGGCAGGAGTAAATTGTAGTGTCGTCTGCGTAGATGCCTACTTGGGAATTTATGACGCCAGGAAGATCTGTGTATCTTATGTTGCTAAGATTGTGGCCGCCAATGATAAATCCTGGTAGGATTTCCAGTCCTTTCAGAATTGTCTCTCCGTATAGGTTGAATAAGTCCGGTGATACGACACATCCTTCTACCCAATCCTTACTCGTCTGTCTTGTCACAGTCCAAAAAGTTATTTATGAAGAATTTTACTTTTGCTGCGATAAATCGGCTGGAGCTAATGCTCAAAGATTAAACTCGCCTTCATAAAGTTCACACGCGCCACTGGAAAAGAATGAACTCTTATATCCGATCCATTTCTCACTATATCGCTCCAGTAGCTATCCGGCGCCTTCTGCTAGGTTATATGGTTACAAAAGTCAGATTAGGCTGAAAATGGAGTAATTCTACCATATCTAATCTGGGGCTGCTTCATCCTCACTTTCCAGAGTTTAATTAAAATTACGCGGCCTTGAAGGAGGGTGGATTATTTTCCACCCTACAGCCCCTTTCCCCCAGTCGAAACGTTGCAAGCTTGTCACTACTTTATCTCTATTTCCATGGAAAATGTTCTGAGGAGCTCCATTCCCTAGTTCTCCCTGTCGTGTACACCTTCCATATTCCCTTCGTATTCCGTCGGTAAGAAGAATCGACAACCTTAACTCATTCACGTCTGGTGCCAATGATTATCCAAATATCCACATAATCTAAACTTTGTATGCCCATAAAACAGGCTTTTTATTAAGCCTCTAATTTGATTGGCTTTCGAGCCTTATATTCGGAGAACGTCAGAGCCTAAAAAACCAATATATTCCAAATGGTTCTGAGTGTTGTTTAATTCCTCTTCGAATGAAGAAGAAACTTGAAGTGACAGAGATGTGGTCGTAAGGAGGATTGGAAAAGGTTCAAGCCCGTCTTTACTTTATCGATAAATGTTCAGAAAAATGACAGAACTAATTTCATGTCGGAACTAACTTCAACTCGAAGCTAATTTTACCTCAGAAGTAATTTCAACTCGGAACTAATTTCAAGTCAGAAGTAATTTCAACTCGGAAATAATTTCACCTCAGAACTAATTTCACCTCGAAATTAATTTCACCTCAGAAGTATTTTCAACACGGAACTAATTTAAACTGAATTCATTTTACCTCAGAAAAATTTCAACTAAAATTTTTTCACCTCAGAACTAATAAAGGAACTAATTGACGACCTCGGAATTAATTTCACCCAAGATGTAATTTCAACTAACCTAATTTCAAACTTCGGAACTAATTTCAACTCGATTTAAAATCAAAGTTATCAATTTCACTGAAGCTTTTGCTTTGTAATATAAAAACCAATTATACATATAAAGCATGGATGCTTTCCTCTGTCCAGAAACTATAGAAGACTTGGGAGAATTACTGGCACTTGAATTTGAAGATGATAAATAATTGAAGTTGGTTAGATTAGAAAACATTATGTGGGAAAAATGTCAGGCGGCGTGGCAAAAAGGTTTTGGCGTCGCTGCCAGAAATTAGTACCGAGTTGAAATTAATTCCGAGATGAAATTAGTTCCGAGTTGAAATTAGTTCTGCACACCTTTCAGGCGTTCTTAGTGACAACAACTCCGATCTTTACTGCCGAGATCAACCTTGCTACATCCTCATGGTTGAATTATTCTCATTTCCTACGTATTCATTTTGATAAGTCTGGCTTTCCACTAAGAAGACTTTCTTCCTAGGCTCAAAGAATATTTCGCTAGCGTCAAGTTGTTTGATCGTTACAATAGACATTAGAATATACTAAGTTAACCTGAATAAATATAACCTGAACTGGCGTGGAAGTTGGCTCAACTTTACTCATAAACCTTGTAATTAATTTAAACAATTTAAATGTCTCGAACGCCATTCGTTTAAGGCTAAAACAGGAAATGCTGACGGTCTGTACGTTAAACTGATCCAATCGAATCGTGTAGAAACACAATTCAAACGTCTGCATCTGTATTTTGCAATAGTCAATCAATCAGGTAGTTATAACCCCCCCCACAACAAAACAAACAAAAAAAAGAACAAAAGAAAAGAAATGGCTATATGTCAAACGTTCTCATAAAAAAAAAATTTTTTGGGTTAAAAGGAACAATGTATTTTAAAAATAACTTAAAACGAGATCTCTTTTTGAGGGAATGACATAAAGATTTTTCAAACACGTCTTTTCATTTGTCTTCAACGTTACGTTATATTTGAAATGTGTTTTACGCTCTTCATTTTTTTTTTATAACTCCACTATCTTTCCAAAAAGATCATGGCAATTCACAGATAATAAACAAAAGCAATCTGTGGAGAAGGCCAGGGGAAACTAATGCATTATATTTACCAAGAAATGATGGCAATTCACAGATAATAAAGAAAAGGAATCTGTGGAGAAGGCAACGAGAAACCACTCCACTGTCTTTCCCAAGAAGTCATGGCAATTCATAGATAATAAAGAAAAAAATAAATAAAAAAATTTGAAACCACACTATTTTCCCAAGAAGTCATGACAATTCACAGACAAAATTGACAGACAGGAGAAAGAAAAGGAATGTCTTTGAAAATGAAATTTAAGCTCCATTGTTTTTCCGAAGAAGTCTGTAGAACAATTCATAAATAAAAAAAAGAAAAGGAAAATGTGGAGAAATCATTATTTTAGACCAAATTTTCCCAAGCTTTCAATTCAAGATAATAAAGAAAAGGACATCTGTAGAGAAACAATGAAACAATCCTGAAATTTTCCAAGAAGTCAGAAAATTCACAGAGGGAAAATGAAAAGTCTTTCCCAAGATATCATTTCAAAAGAAGAACAATTCACAAAGGAATAAAGAGAAAGGATTGGAGAAGGCATGAGGAACTCCATCATCTTTACCAAGAAGTCATGACAATTCACAGATAATAAAGAAAAGGAATCTGTGGAGAAGGCAAAGGGGAAACCATCCACTATATTTCCTTTATTTATATCGAAGTCATGGCTTTTCACAGATAATAAAGAAAAGGAATCTGTGGAGAAGGCAATGGGAAACCACTTCCACTATTTTTCCCAAGAAGTCATGGCAATTCACAGATAATAAAAGAAAAGGAATCTGTGGAGAAGGCAGATGGGGAAACCATCCTATATCTTTCCCAAAATATGGCAATTCACATTAAAAAAAAGGAAAGAATTGGAAACCACTCCACTATCTTTGGAGAAGGCATGGCAAAAACAGATAATAAGAAATTAATCTTCCCAAGAAATGGAAATGAATTCAAAGATAATAAAGATAAAAGGAAAAGGAATTGGAAAGGCAAATATGGGAAACTATCTTTATTCAATCACAATAATAAAGTCAAAAGGAATGGGAAAGCCAGATAATAAAGAAAAGGAATCTGTGGAGAAGGCACCATGGAAACCATTCCTCCAAATCTTTCCCAAGAAGTCATGGCAATTCACAGATAATAAAGAAAAAAGGCTTGAGAAACCATGATCGCCTACTTTCCTGAAGGGACATGGCAATTGGACTAACAGAAGAAAAAAGAAATGGAGAAGGCAACGGGAAAACCACAATCTTTCCCAACTATTTTTAATAAAGAAGTCATGGCAATTCACAGATAATAAAGAAAAAGGAATCTGTGAAAAAGGCAAGGGGAAACCATTCCACTATCTTTTGAAAGAAGTCATGACAATTCACAGATAATAAGAAAAGAAAAGGAATCCTGAGAGAAGGCAATAAAGGAACCATGGAGAAGGGAAACCATTCCACTGTTTTTCCCAAGAAGTCATGGCAATTCACAGATAATAAAGAAAAGGAATCTGTGGAGAAATCGGAAACCTACATCCTGAAGGGACATGGCAGATGAATACACAGATAATTAAAAAAAATGGAGAAGGCAAGGAAACCATTTGATATTTTTCCCAAGAAGTCATGGCAATTCACAGATAATAAAGAAAAAGGAATCTGTGGAGAGCCATGATCACCTACATCCTGAAGGGACATGGCATAGATGATTACAGATAATAAAAAAAAGGAATGGAGAAGGCAAAGGGAAACCATTCCACAATTTTTCCCAAGAAGTCATGGCAATTCACAGATAATAAAGAAAAAGGAATCTGTGGAGAGCCATGATCACCTACATCCTGAAGGGACATGGCATAGACAACTACTCTGAATTAAAACCATGGAGAAGGCAAAGGAACCATTCCACAATCAGAAAAAGAAGTCATGGCAATTCACAGATAATAAAGAAAAGGAATCTGTGGAGAGCCATGATCACCTACATCCTGAAGGGGACATGGCATTGACAGATAATCTGAATTCAAAATGGAGAAGGCAAAGGAAACCATTCCACTATCTTTCCCAAGAAGTCATGGCAATTCACAGATAATAAACGAAAAAGGAATCTGTGGAGAGCCATGATCACCTACATCCTGAAGGGACATGGCATAGATGACTAATTCACAGAATTAAAAAAAAAGGAATGGAGAAGGCAAAGGAAACCATTCCATTATCTTTCCCAAGAAGTCATGGCAATTCACAGATAATAAAGAAAAAAGGAATCTGTGGAGAGCCATGATCACCTACATCCTGAAGGGACATGGCATAGATGACTACTCTGAAAAAAAACCATGGAGAAGGCAAAGGGAAACCATTCCACATCTTTCCCAAGAAGTCATGGCAATTCACAGATAATAAAGAAAAGGAATCTGTGGAGAGCCAACGGAAACCCCTACATCCTGAAGGGACATGGCATAGACAGATAATAAAGAATTCAAAACCATGGAGAAGGCAAAGGAAACCATTCATCCTATTTTTCCCAAGAAGTCATGGCAATTCACAGATAATAAAGAAAAAGGAATCTGTGGAGAGCCATGATCACTACATCCACTACATCCTGAAGGGACATGGCAGATGACTACTCTGAATTAAAATAATGGAGAAGGCAAGGAAACCACTCCATCCTCTTTCCCAAGAAGTCATGGCAATTCACAGATAATAAAAAAAAGGAATCTGTGGAGAGAGCCATCCTGAAGGGATGGCAAACTACATCCTGAAGGGAAACCACATAAAGAAGTCATGGCAATTCACAGATAATAAAGAAAAGGAATCTGTGGAGAGCCATGATCACCTACATCCTGAAGGGAAAGAAAACAGATAAAACCATGGAGAAGGCAAGGGAAACCATTCCACATTTTTTCCCAAGAAGTCATGGCAATTCACAGATAATAAAGAAAAGGAATCTGTGGAGAGCCATGATCACCTACATCCTGAAGGGACATGGCATGGATGAATTCACAGATAATAAAGAAAAAACCATGGAGAAGGCAAAGGGAAACCATTCCACTATCTTTCCTGAAAGAAGTCATGGCAATTCACATATAATAAAGAAAAGGAATCTGTGGAGAGCCATGATCGCCTATATGCTGAAGGGACATGGCATTCAGATGATAATAAAGAATTCAAAACCATGGAGAAGGCAAAGGGAAACCACTCCACTATCTTTTTCTGAAGAAGTCATGGCAATTCACAGATAATAAAGAAAAGGAATCTGTGGAGAAGGAGAGCCATGATCACCTACATCCTGAAGGGACATGGCATAGATGATAATAAAGAAAAAAAACCATGGAGAAGGCAAAGGAAACCACTCCACAATCTTTCCCAAGAAGTCATGGCAATTCACAGATAATAAAGAAAAGGAATCTGTGGAGAGCCATGAAACCTACATCCTGAAGGGACATGGCATAGATGAAATTCACAGATAATAAAAAACCATGGAGAAGGCAAAGGGAAACCACTCCATCCTGAAGGGAAGAAGTCATGGCAATTCACAGATAATAAAGAAAAAAGGAATCTGTGGAGAGCCATGATCACCTACATCCTGAAGGGACATGGCATAGATGACAGATAATCTGAAAGGAAAACCATGGAGAAGGCAAAGGGAAACCATTCCTGAATTTTTCCCAAGAAGTCATGGCAATTCACAGATAATAAAGAAAAGGAATCTGTGGAGAGCCATGATCACCTACATCCTGAAGGGACATGGCATAGATGAGATACTCTGAAGAAAAAACCATGGAGAAGGCAAAGGGAAACCACTCCACAATCTTTTCCCAAGAAGTCATGGCAATTCACAGATAATAAAAAAAAAGGAATCTGTGGAGAGCCATGATCAAGGGAATTTTACATCCTGAAGGGACATGGCATGGCAATGACAGATAATCTGAAAACAAAACCATGGAGAAGGCAAAAGGAAACCATCCACTATTTTTTTCCTGAAAGAAGTCATGGCAATTCACAGATAATAAAGAAAAAGGAATCTGTGGAGAGCCATGATCGCCTACATCCTGAAGGGACATGGCAGATGACTAATGAATTCAAAACCATGGAGAAGGCAAAGGGAAACCATTCCATTCTCTTTCCCAAGAAGTCATGGCAATTCACAGATAATAAATAAAAAAAGGAATCTGTGGAGAGCCATGATCACCTACATCCTGAAGGGACATGGCATAGATGACTACTCTGAAAGAAAAAACCATGGAGAAGGCAAAGGGAAACCACTCCAAATCTTTCCCAAGAAGTCATGGCAATTCACAGATAATAAAGAAAAGGAATCTGTGGAGAGCCATGATCACCTACATCCTGAAGGGACATGGCATAGCAATTGACAGATAATAAAGAAAAAAACCATGGAGAAGGCAATGGGAAACCACTCCATTTTCTTTCCCAAGAAGTCATGGCAATTCACAGATAATAAAAGAAAAGGAATCTGTGGAGAGCCATGATCGCCTACACATCCTGAAGGGACATGGCATAGATGACTACACTGAATAAAAAGGAATGGAGAAGGCAAAGGAAACCACTCCATGGAGAATCATTTCCCAAGAAGTCATGGCAATTCACAGATAAAAAAGAAAAGGAATCTGTGGAGAGCCATGATCACCTACATCCTGAAGGGACATGGCAAGATGACAGATACTCTGAATTCAAAACCATGGAGAAGGCAAAGGGAAACCATTCCATTATCTTTCCTGAAAGAAGTCATGGCAATTCACAGATAATAAAGAAAAGGAATCTGTGGAGAGCCATGATCACCTACATCCTGAAGGGACATGGCAATAGACAGATAATCTGAATTCAAAACCATGGAGAGGCAAAAGGGGAAACCATTCCATTTTTTTTCCC